AGAGAGAGAGAGAGAGAGAGGTTCACTAGTGCGGGCCAAAACGACAACAAATAGTACCGGTGGACACTGATATGACACGCAGTAGTGAACCCGACCGTCGTTGAAATTGAGGCAGACATAGAGGGATGTACAGGTTGAGGGATGCATGTCTGTTATCATCCATGATGTCTAACATGGTATGTCGTGGTGTGTGGATGTGTCTCCGATCGCTGCCGTGACCAAGCACTAACTATTGCGTCTCCTATTGACAAGCCGGGGTACAATGTCTCTCCCCAAGTTGTCGCCATTGCGCCATGTATAAGGCAACTCAGGTTGACTCCCCGTGTCAGTGACGTTGCTAGCACAGTCTCTCTATTGACCAGAACAAACCATCCCTTGCCAACACGTGACCACTTTTTCCCCTTGTTGCATGATTTCATTATGTTGGTTACTGCGGCATATCGTAGTGCACCATTTGGTATTGTGCCCTTTATCACAACACGCAACACTTTGTGCGGATCGGGAAAAGCACGTGCCAACCTCAGAATTGCATGTGCCCACCCTTTTGTCACTTGTCCACCCGCCGCCTTCAAATCATAGTATACATCATGTTCTTCGTTTTCCTCGTCGCTGCTGACATCGTTATCGCTCACTTCCACGTCAGAAGATGATGCCCCCTCATCCTCTTCTTCATCTTCTTCTTCTGCACTGTCTGTGTACTACGAGCGCATTTTGATAAAGATCCAAAGTACATGCATTCACATGGAAACCTACAGTAAGTGGACCGAAGGCCAGGACACACATTAGATAGACCTCCGGGTGCCTACGAGTCTTCAGAAGAGCGGAAACGAAAAAAAAGTACAAGGCTGAAAGGCCTGGGACTACGAAAGCAGAGACAACTGCCAACAGGTTCCGCTGTTGGAGTCCACCGAAAGGCCGATCATTCAAAAAGAAAGAAAGAAAGAAAGACTTGAAGAAAGGAAGAAGAAAAAAATGAAAATGAAAAAAAAAAAAACAAAAACAAAGTAAGAAAGAAAGAAAGGAGAACAAGAAAAAAACAAAAATATATGGGGTTCACTACTGCGGGCCAAAATCAGCGACAGAGTCGTCCTTCAATACCTTCATGTCCCCCACTAGTGAACCTGATCTCTCTCTCTCTCTCTCTCTCTCTCTCTCTCTCTCTCTCTCTCTCTCTCTCTATTCAACCCACCTAACACCACGAAGACTTCCACGGAGTCCACGATTCGACAGGACAACTGTTATGCAGCACACATAGTAGAATTCTCAAGCTGCCTTTTTTTTCGCGGACCCCCCCTTACGTGGCACTGCTTTCCTCTTCTTCGCCCCTGCTCTGCTCTCATCCCTTTCCGCCTGTCTGGCCTCCATCCGTTCCTGTCTCTCCTCAACTCTCGCCTTCTCGTCCAACATACCTTAATATTTCTCAACCCAGCGAGGCTTCGACAACCTATCCACCAGTCTCATGTCCCTGACCTGGATCGTCACCCTCTTCGAATGGATAACCACCTCGTTGGTGTTCTCGAAATTGGCGACCAGGTACGCCTCGGCAGCCTCCATCAAAGCACGCACCGCCGTCATCTGAAACCTCACGCCCATACCCGGAGCAATGTCGTGCTCCACAACCTCGCGCACGAGACGCAAGAACGGCTTGAAAGCCAAGCAAAGGTCGGTGGATCGTTGCAACTTTCTGATTTCCGGCAAAGTTGCCATCCCGGGGCGTCGACGACGTCTGGGGACCTGAGTTCGTGCACCTGCGGTGTCTCTGGTCGCTGGCACCGCCTTCGGGTTCACCTTCTTTCTGCCTGCGGGCGTCTGCCCACGTGGCGGTCCCGACGTGCACTTCTTCTTCTTCCCCGGGCTCTGCGACATCGCGACATCGCGACATCGCTCGTCCTGCCCATGTCACCCTGTGCTGCAGAGCACCCCACGACGCGACCAGGACCACATGGGCCCTCCACCTCAGCAGACAAACGATAAATTTCTGAGCGCTTCTCTGTCCTCTTGCCTGCCTGCGCTGAACCTGCCAAGTCATTCTCCAGTAGATACCGAATGTCTCGCAGGAGTCCATCTGAGTAGGTCAGATGGAAAGGCACACCAAGCGGGTTTCTAAATCTCATGGTGACGTCTCCACCATGCTCATATGTCATGGGACATACTACCGGTGTCGGACCAAATACCCTTACAAGGGTATTTGGTCGTGCTTTTGCATTTGACACGGTGACGGCGTCGGCTACCATGATGGGGCCGATCTGAGGTGAGATGGGTGTGCATGCTTTGGCTTGACACTTGAAACGATTTTCTCGGCCATTGAGGCTGAGGTGAATCGGTGAGAAAATTTCGAGAGTCTGTGCACGCGTTGTCTTGACGCGCACGGTGATGGTTAGGATTAGTAGCAATACCCTCGAACCGAAAAGGTCAAGGGGTTGATTGAGTCAGTATCGTGTCAGGTAGGCCTATGATACACACTGAGACTTGGGCTGGTCCCTGTCTACCTACTAGATATTGAGCGTCTAAAAATGCTAACTTTTGTCTTCTCCTACTCGGCCTTGAGTACCCGACACATTTATCTCTGCTTGGTGTAGTACCAACCTACCTGCCACTTGATTGTTTTCCCCGCCACGACCTTCAGTGTCGCGGCCATAGCTAGGTACCGGCTTCTTTGCCCGCCACTTGGGTGTCTTTTCCCGCCGCGACCCTGAATGTTGCAGACACAAAAAACTACCGCCCCTTAGGCCTTTCAAAGCAATCAAGTGCCCGGCGGGTCACACACACACTAAGGCCGACAAGCACTCAGGCACGCCAGCCGACAAGTGTGCGCGCACTCAGACTTAGAAACGGGCTTAGTCCACTAGGCGGACTGAGCCCCACCTCAATATATATCTGAGCTGCTCCTCTTCTAACCGAAGTAGGAGCTAGCTCAGTGGGTTTTCGGTGCGGATTGCGGATCAGGTGACTCGGGGATTGAATCCATCCGACCCCGAGCTAGCTCCTTTTGTAGGGAGCTCAATTTTAGCCCCGCGTTCGACCGACGGGGACTTGAACCCGTGACCTTGTTAGTTAGAGTTAGTGATTACAGTCAGCCTCGTTTGAAAACGAGGGTCCGACAATTGGCATGAGTAGGTAGTTAATCGTTAGATTTGGTTGTTTTTATTTATTTGTTTTCCGTTGTTAGTTAGATTCGTTTTATTTTTTTTTAATTTATTTTATTATTTCTTATTTTGATTTCTTGCTAGTCTCGTAGCTGCTTCACATTTCTAAAAGATTCACTATAGTGAATCTACGTAGGAAAGTCGGCCAGATTCATTTCGACAAAAATGTGCTCGACTCCAGAGATAGCAACCCGAGATCTGGCCCGCGGATTCAGGCTGAGTGCTCGGCAAACGAACACCGCGAGAGCAAGCGACCGCGCGGAGAGAGTGAGCAAGAAGGAGATGGCCGCGCGGAGAGGGAGAAGTCGCGGCGTGAAGGAAAGGAGATGGCTGCACGGAAAAAGGAAGCGCATCGGAAAGCAGGGGGGGGAAGTTCGGGGAAAAGCAAGAAGTAGGAGTGGCGCGGGGGAATAGTGGAGATAACCGCGCAAGGTGCAAGAAGAAGAAGAAGAAGAAGAAGAAGAAGAAGAAGAAGAAGAAGAAGAAGAAGAAGGTAGGAGAAGAAGTAGAAGGGGAGGAAGGAGAGACGAAAGACGACTTACCTGTGTGTGTGTGTGTGTGTGAGAGAGAGAGAGAGAGAGAGAGAGAGAGAGAGAGAGAGAGAGAGAGAGAGAGAGAGAGAGAGAGAGAGAGAG